ATCAGAACACACATTTTTCTTAGCTGCACCCAGGATGTCCTCTAAAATAGACCATATACTAGCACACAGAACATGCTTAAGGAAATGCAAAGGAATTGAAACTATCCCATGCATATTATCGGACCATAGTGCAACAAAATTGAAAATTAATGGCAAAAGAAACTACAAAAACTCAATAAACACATGGAAATTAAATAACACCCTCCTCACTAACCAATGGGTCACAGATGAAATTAAAAAATTACAAGTAAACAAGAAAGCAGATACAACATGCCAGAACATATGGGATACAAGGAAAGCAGCCTTATGAGGGAAATTTATAGCAGTGAGTTCTCACTTCAGGAAAACAGAATGGGCACAAATAACCTAATGTTGCACCTCAAGCTTCTAGAAAATGAAGAGCAAGACAAGCCCAAAGTCCATGCAAGGGAGGAAATTATAAAGACCAGAGCAGAAATGAATGCAATGGAGACTAAGAAAACAACACAGAGATTTAATGAATCTAAGAGTTGATTCTTTAAAAGAATAAATACAGTTGATAAACCCTTAGCCAAACTGATCATAAAAAGGAAAGAAAAGACACAAATTCATGCATTGAGGCATGAAAAGGGTGAAATCAATACAGATGCTGTGGAAATTCAGAAGACCATCAATATCTACTTCAAAAATCTTTACTGTCATAGGATGGGAAACAGAAGAAATAGACAGATTCCTAGATACATATGAATTACCAAAGCCAAATCAAGAAGATATAAAAATTTTCAATAACCCAATACCAATCAATGAGATTGAAAATGTAATTGAAAATTTACCAATAAAGAAAATCCAAGGTCCTGATGGATTCACAGCTGAATTCTACAAGAAATTTGGAGAAGATTTTATACGTATACTCCTCAAACTCTTTAATGAAATTGAAAGGGAACAAATCCTCCCTAACACATTCCTGGAGGCAAGCATTAACCTGATACCCAAGCTGGGGAGAAAGACCCAGCCAAAAAAGACAACTACAGGCCAATCTCCCTAATGAGCATAGATGCAAAAATACTCAGTAAGATACTAGCAAACAAAATGCAGCAAATCATCAAGATTATACATCATGACCAAGTGGGATTCATACTAGGAATGCAGAGATTGTTTGATATATGCAAATTGATAATTGTAATACAGCATATCAACAGAGCCAAAGACAAAAATCATATTATCACCTCAACAGATGCAGAAAAAGCTTTTGATAAAGTCCAACACTTATTCATGATAACAACCCTGCCGAAAATCAGAATACAAGGTCTTTACCTCAAGCCGATGAAAGCCGTCTGTGACAAACCAACAGCCAACATCATACTAAAGAAACAAAAACTGAAAGTTTTCACTTTATAATCAGGAAAAGACAAGGATGTCCAGTGTCACCACTCCTATTCAATGTAGTTCTAGTAACATTATCCTGAGCAATTAGACAAGAGAGAGAAATAAATGGAATAAGGATAGGAAAGGAAAAAATTAAATATCATTATTTGCAGATGATATGATACTCTACATAGGAGACCCCCAAAACTCCATCAAAATACTTCTAGATTAAATAACCAAATTCAGTAGCATAACTGGATACAATGTCAACATTCAAAAATCACTATCATTGCTATACATAAACAACAAACTCACTGAGAGAGAAATTAAGGAAACCACATCTTTCACAATAGCATCCCCCCAAAATGAAATATTTAGGAATAAATCTAGCAATGCAGGTGAAAGATCTATACTTTGAAAATTACAGTACTCTGGAAAAGGAGATTGAAGAGGATATCAGAAAAGATATCCCTTGCTCATGGGTAGGAAAAACCAACATTTTGAAAGTATCATACTCCCAAAATAGTTGTACAGATTTAGTGCAACCCCAATCAAAATACCATGGCATAGCTCTCAGAAGTAAAGGAAACATTCCTAAAATTCATTTGGAACCAGAAGAGATCTAGAATAGCAAAAGTAATTCTGGGTCACAAAGGCAAAGCAGATGGCATCACAATCCCTGACTTCAAGTTATACTGCAAAACTACTGTGATAAAATCAACATAGTACTGGCAAAAAAACAAAACAAAACAAAACAAAAAAACAGGCCTGAGGATTAGTGGAACAGATTAGAATATGCAGACACAACTACAAACACACTTAGCCACCTTCTCTGACAAAGGGGCCAAACATGTTCACTGGAAGAAAGATAGCCTCTTTAATAAATGGTACTGGAAAAACTGGCTTTTCACATGCCAAAGACTAAAATTAGACCCATGTCTATCACCATGCACTAAACTAAAATCAAAATGCATCAAAGACCTAAATATTAAAGCAGAAATGCGAAATCTCTTGGAAGAGAAAGTAGGTACAAATCTTGAAGACATAGGGGTGGACTGGGAGTTCATAAACACAAACCAATGCACACAGGAAACACTTAAAAGAATCAACAACAGGCATCTTATCATGTTAAAAAGCTTTCATACACCAAAAGAAATCACCAACAGAGTGAAAAGACAACCCACAAAGTGGGAAAAACTTTTAGCTAACCATCCCTGAGACAAAGAATTTAAGTCTAGAACATATAAAGAATTGAAAAAAATCAGATCCTCCCCAATTTAAAGACCCAATCCCAAAAATGGCATCTCAGATGAATACACACTTCTTAGATGGAGAAATACAAATGGCAAATAAATACATGAAAAATGTTCAACATCATTGGTCATTCAAGAGATGCAAATTAAAACAACACTAGGATTCCATCTCACTCCAGAAAGAATGGCTATCACCAAGATATCAATCAATAACAAATGCTGGAAAGGCTGTGGGAAAGGAAGAAACCCTTCTCCACTGCTGGTGGGAGGGCAGACTGATGCAACCACTGTGGAAATTAGCATGGAGATTCTCAAAAAACTAGGATTAGAGGTCCCATTTGACCCAGCTATCCCCCTTCTGGGTATCTTCCCAAAAGAATGAAAAACATTATACCACAGCAATATATGTGCACCCCTGTTTATAGCAGCACAATTTGTAATAGCTAAATCTTGGAAACAACCTATGGTATTTTGTGGTATTTTTATACAATGAGTACTACTCACCCATGAAGAAGGATAAACTTGAAACTTTCATAGGTGAATGGCTGCAACTCAAGACCATACTCATAAGCGAAATAAATCAGATTCACATGTGTAAATATCCTATTGCCTCCCTAGTGTATTTGTGTGTGTGTGTGTATACAGTTAAGACAGCTATATTACTAATTTCTATTTATTGAAAAGAGAGATTTGTGCTTATATCACTTGATCAAATTTTCATGCCTATATTTTGTGATTTTAGCAACTATTTTGCAGATAACAATCAGCAATGTACTAACCATTCTTACCGTCCTACTATCTTGTTTTGAAATTTTGTGTCATTGTTTTTATTGTTTTTTCTCTTTAAAATAAAAAAAAAGTTTGTCTTTCTCTAGCATCTTCACAGAGAGAGCAAAAATTTTGAGAGACTCAAACTTTCAAACACTTTTTTGCCTAGGTCCTCTACTGGCCAAAGCCTGGCATACTTCCTGGTGCATGTTCTACCTTTCCCATCAATTGGAGTACTGCTGTGAGCTGGGTTGAGGGGAAGGATTTGACTTCCTACCCTCCCAATTTGGCCAGATTCCACATAAGTTTACCATGTATTCTGGGTTTCTCATACCCTTGGTGTCAGACTGGCAAATGAAAACAGATAGTTGAGGCCTAGATTTGGGCCCTAACCCCCTCCCCAGCTCACCAACCCCAGCTCCCATCAGAACTGGTCACAGCAACAGAAAGCTGCCTCTCACAAAAGCTTTACATACTTTGTTAGATTGACATCTAAGCATTTCCTTTTCATTGGAGCAATGTAAATGTTATTGTGTTTGTAATTTCAAATTTACACTGTTCATTACTGCAACTGACTTTAGAATTGGCCATGGTAGCCTATGTCTGTAATCCCAGGACTCAGGAGACCGAAGCGGGAGGTCAGTGAGTTCTAGGTTCCAGGCTGGCCTGACCTGCACAGTGACAGAGTTTGACCCTGTCTCAAAACAAAGCAATATAAGGATTTTGTTTATAAAGTTTGCAACTTGTAAGTGACTGCAGTGCAGGTAAACCACAAGCAGACATCATTTTTTTCCCTGTAACCATTAAAAGCATTGGTCAAGAGCACTGCAGCAGCACTGTACAGGAAAGAAGAGATTGAAAGGCCCCAAAACTGCTTTTCTCCTGCAAGCTCATGGGTCTCTTCAAACATTTCCCTCTGTTTAGGCCTTCTCATCCTCTTCCTCTACATCTAATTATTCCTCAAAGTTCAATTCAGGCATGATGTCCTAATAATTCTTCCTCCTCTATCTCCTCACAGCCTCTGCCATGTCCTCCATCACCCTGTAAATGCTGTCTCTCCTTATCTTTGTAGGTATAACGTACTTGTCCACCTGCCTGACTCGGTCTTTCATTAAAATATGAACTCTTAAATCTGAGTAGTGCAAGATCTGGCCCAAGAATCGCATACATAAATAAATAATTCACTCACATCTATTGCTGAACTCACATTTCCAAGTATGTTGTAGCTGTTATAACATATTCACCCTTTCTCTTAAGGGACCGAAGTTATAGCTGGTGTGGTGGTACCTGCCTGTAATTCCAGTACTGGGGAGGCTGAGGTAGGAGGATCCTGCAAGGTAGAGGAAGCCTGGGCTACATAGTGAGACATAGTGTGACCCTGTGTCATCAAGACCAATGGGGGAAAGAAAGAAAGAAAGAAAGAAAGAAAGAAAGAAAGAAAGAAAGAAAGAAAGAAAGAAAGAAAGAAAAGAAAAGAAAGAAAGAGAAAGAAAAGGAACTGAAATCATACAGCTTCAAAAAAACAGAATCGGGAATTCGAGAGAGAAGCACGAAAGCTTTATCAGGAAGTTGTCAGTTCCCTAAAACTGTTTCGAGTCATCTTGTTTCGCAAATGAGAGTTCTTCTTCTATGAATAGCGATGATGATATGAATTTCAAGCGGAGATTAAAGTCTCCAGGCTCATCTTCACTGCAGAAGAAGTTCACATCTACAAAGGGGCAGGTTTTCTTTCCTGGGGTTCAGAATATTCCTTCCTCCACCTGGCACAGCAGTGCTGGTCAGTTGGGGAGAAAAAAAGAAAGAATCCACTGAACCTGGACTAAGCACTGCTCTGAGCTCAGCAGGCACCCAGCACAGACACGGGTAAGAGGGGAGAACTTGGGGCTGGGATGCGCAGGGCAATGAAGATGGTCAGAGATGAAGGTCAGCGTCTCAGGGGAAGAGGTGGAAACCCAGGTTTCCGACATGAGGGTTACTGACTGCGGGGGCACGGGTCAGGAGGGGAACGGGATGTGCCCATCAGGGGAGGGGTCTGCTCACCTGAGTCCCCTCACAGGAATTGTGAGACTATGTGAGAGAGACTTTTTAAAGAGGTATGAAATCTCAAAAGGCAAAACAAGACTGCAAGGTGCTATGGCGAATAGTTTGCTGTTGTTTCTGCTAATATGACCGTGAGCTTCCCATTTCCTTCACAGAGAAGATGGGGCGAGGTGTGAGACTCCCTCTCCTCTTGCTGCTGGGGCTGCCTGGGCTACTGTGTCCACTGTGGGCTTCGCCTAAGAGGCTCACCAGGGCCCAGTGGTTCGAGATCCAGCACATACAGCCGAGTCCTCTCCAGTGCAGCTCAGCAATGAGTCGTGTCAACAGTTACACCCAGCACTGTAAGCCTCTAAACACCTTTCTGCACGATTCTTTCCAAAACGTGAGCGATTCCTGCATCTTGCCCAACATCATCTGCAAGAATGGTCAGAACAACTGCCACCAGAGTGCAAGTCCTGTCAAGCTGACCAACTGCAATCTCACGGGAGGGAAGTACCCTAACTGTCGTTACAAGGACGCTGCCCAGTTCAAATTCTTCGTGGTGGCCTGTGAGCCACCTCAGAAGAGTGATCCTCCGTATCCGTTGGTTCCTGTACACTTAGATAAGATTGTCTGAGGGCTCATTACCTTTCCTTCCTTTTGACATCTCGAAAGGCGAAACAAGAATATAAGTACTTATGATGAGCGATTTTGTCCTTGTTGCTTCTATTCTTACCATGAGCTTCCTTTTTCCTAAGTGGCACTGATGGTGCAGATGCGAGGTTTCTTCTCCCATTGCTTCTGGGGTTACTGGGCTCCTGTGTCCTCTTTGGCTGGGCCTCCGGGCCTCACTGGGGCTCAGTGGTTTGAAATCCAGCCCACACAGCCCCATCCTCTACAACGCACTGGGATGGCGTTTGGTGTCAACAGTTCCCTCTGCAAGCCTGCGAGCAGCTTTCCATATGACTCCTTCCCCAGCAAGGCCGTGCCTTGCGCTATGCCCAGAGCTACCTGCTCCAGTGGAGACAGGAGTTGCCACCGGAGCGCAAATCCTGTCAGCCTGGCTCTGCAGGCTCCCTGGAGGGATGTTTCCCAAGTGCCACTGTGCTGGAGGCTCCCAGTTCAAACTGTTCCTCGTGGCCTGTAAGCGTGGCCGGATGGTGGCCTCCTCCCCACTGCCGGCTTCTGCACACTTTGAGCTTTGCTCGGTTTTCCTCTCTTTTGACCCAGCTTCTACTACAGCTTCTTCTTCTGTCTCTCTTGTATTTCTTTGCTCCCACAGCAGAAGGAAGGGAGGTGCTGGGAGAGTTAGAGGGTCTGTGTACTGGGCAGCACCTGGGAAGGAATGCATATGTATTTTTCCTGCTTTAGAGATCTGTCTGTGTTGAGATGTTGGCCTACAGAATTGTGCAGGCTTTACTGCACTGTGTTCACAGCAATCACACCTCTCTCTAGGGCACTGTAGTGCTCATCAGTGTGCTTTATTGCCCCTCAAATCATTGCCTTCCTGTATTCTAAGCGGAACTGTTGTGTTCTTAGGTCCTTAGGCCACATTTGAGGTCTCCCTGAGAACACAACCGCTTCCTTTGCTTCTGTGTCTCTTGGATTGCAAGCAAGGAAATCCTCCATCCCTTCAAACTCTGCTGATAATTTCATGTCTTCCACTTAAAGCCTTGGTTTGTACTTACTCAGAGGCAATGCTGATCTGAGAGAGAGAGAGACAGAGGGTATTTTCTTGTCTTTTTTGCAGGGATTGTGATGCTGTGAATGAAACATTGGGAGTGCTGAACTACATCACTAGCCCTTTTAATTTTTAATTTTGAGGCAGAATCTGGCTAAGTTGGTCTTAAACCCAAACCTCCTGCCCCATTCGCCTTTGCATGGGCATTATAGGCATGGACAACTATTCCCAATGTGTCCCCAACCCTTTATTAACTTTTAAAAATTTTGAGACATGTTTTCCCTAATTTCCTAGGGTGGTCTGAAACTTGCAATATTCCTACCTCAATTTCAGAATAGGTGGAATCCTGGGCGTGCATCAGCACACCTGAATCCAGACCTTATTTGCTTTATTCCATCCTTGGTTTCTTCCATGCTTAGGTTTTCTGTATCGTTTAGTTGAAGATTTTGTAGTGAACAACAAACCACACCTAGGCTGTTGCTCCTTAATTCCACTGATCTGTAGTCCCATGGTCTCATATTCACATCCCATGCATGTAGATTTTGTCCCTGTGTCCTGATACTGTGCATGTTGGATTCCTAAGAAAAAGATTCCAGAGTCTTGTGCACAGTGCGCAAAGGATTGTGAATTATACACTCGATGACAAAAGGAAAATCAGCTACATTTTGGAGTTGGGGGCGGGGTGCTCACAGACAGTGGTAGGGAGTAGCAGAAACACAAGCGGGGGAGCGGGGAGGTGGTATTGGGACACCAGGGAGGAAGGGAAGGAATAAAAGCCAGGTTCCTGGGTTTATAAAACACACGCATCCTGCCGGGGGTGTCCCTCACTGGATCTCCGTGGATATGATTGACAAAATGATTGACAGGGAGCCGAGTTATCTCAGTGGTATCTAGCGCACATGGCTTTTCCATAATTTATTGTTACAATAGCACGCATGACATGCAGTCCCTATGGACGACGCGTTAATAAATTTAAAGTGGGGATAAGGTCACTGTAGGTCATGCCACAGTATCTAACATGCATGTGCTCTGGTGTGGAGCTTTAGAAATATCCTGGGTTTGGGTATTTTTATTTTTGTTTCTCTTTGGGTATGGAGGGAGCATGACACACAGGGCGTTGTCCAAGTTCAGGTGACTGGGGGGTGTCCAGCCCCAGTTGTGCTCTCTGCTTTATTATGACAACTCCTGTCACCTGCCCCAGAGCCCTGCTCTTGGCAATTGTATGGTGGTGTTTGTGGGAGAGGAGGCAGGGCTGAGCAGGAAAATCTCTGCTGCTGGTCAGGACCACGGCCCAGCAGACAGCCTCATCAGCAGGTTGCCAATGAAGCCAAGAGCAGCCAAACTTTCTAAGCTCGCGCCTGTGTCTTCTCACTGCTGTCCGCATCTCACCTGCACATCAGCCCCTCCCCGTTGTGGGCTCTGAGCCAAGGCAAAAGACCCATGGGCCCTCAGGACCCAGCCAGAGGCGAACTCTAGCTTTGACCTTAAGAAGCTGTCTGAAGTGCACTGCAAGGAAAAATCTGTCCTGATGAGATACATGACATCTGTTAATATGATCAAGACCTCTAAAGTGGCTTCATGTTGAAAGTACCACTCTGAACTAATCCAGATCTCAACGTGTGATTTTTCTAGGATCCTAACTATACATAACTCAGAACTGCATGCCATGCCCAGCCCTGCCAGCACGTGGGTGGAATCTACCCGGACAATCCCAAGTGTAAGGGGGCTTTGGGATCATGGATCCTTTCCCCCAGATTAGGAAACTGGTTCAGAGAGGGATCCAGACTTGCCTGAGGGATACGGAGAGCTGTAACAGGGCTGGGACTCGGCCGTGTGCCCCACCCAGTTAGGGACCACACGCACACTCAGGGCAAGTGCAAAGGGAAGGAAACTGAGCCTCGGCACGGGCCTTGCACAGACTTGCAGCAAGAAGAAACTAGAGCATAAAGTGAGGGCGTGATGAGCTTTAAGACACCTCTGCTACCCACGCTAGAGCCACATGGCCTGTGCGCTCGCGCTGTGCAGACAAAACCTCTTTTGCCACAGACTGTGAAGATGATCATGGCTTACTCAGCCTGATAATCTAAAACTTCTCTAAAAAGTAGCCTCATTTTTTAAGTAGAATCTATTCTTTTTTTTTTTTTAATTTGTTTTTTTGTTTTCTTTTTGAGACAGGGTCTCACTATGCAGTTCAGGCTGGCTTTGAGCTCACTTTGTAGTCCAGGCTGGTGTTAAATTGCAACGATTCTCCTGCCTCAGCCTCCTGAGTGCTGGGATTACAGGTGTGCACCACCACGCCCGACTTATTCTTATTTATTTTTAGGGTTTGTTTTGTTTTGTGTTTTGAGACATGTTCTTTCTATGCAGTTCAGTCAGGTTTTGAACTTACTATGTAGCCCAGGCTGACATCAAACTCATAGATATCCTTGTGCCTCAGCCTTCCCAGTGCTGGGATTACAGGTGTGCACCACTATTTTTAAAAAGAAGACAATAAGGAATGAGAAGGAAGAGAAGGGTTGATGGAGGGATCTGAGAAGACACTTTTGCACGTACACTTACTAAAAGCTACAAAGAAACAAAAATATATCTGCAATTATTGACTGATTTGGAGTGGAACTGCAATCTGTCCATGGAAAGGGTCTACTAGGAAACAGGTTTGCTTATATCCATGGGCAGGTCAAAGAGAGGTCCACCTGCGTTCTGTACCTCTGTTTATGTGCTAGCTTCACCACAAATCTTGTGCCATGCAGGCAGAAGTCTGTCAGTTTCTTGATTGATTCCTCAGAGATTATCAAAGTGCAGTTTGCACCATGGAATTTACATTCATAAGCCCCTAGCACACCACTTGCTCCATGAGGTGTGAGGAGGCAAAGGTGGGGTTCGGAGCAGCCTTTCCTTTCACAGTTAGTGAGAAAGCTCAGAGTGTAGATACTACTGGAGGGGTGCATGGAAAGCCAGAACCTGATCCAACGAGCTTTTTTAAAAAACTGGATATTGAAACCAAAGCCTTCACACTGAGCCCTTGTTTTACTTTTTTTTTTTTTTTTGGTTTTTTTCTCCAGTACCAGGAACCGAACTCATGACCTTGCACTTGCCAGGCAGGTGCTTTTGCCGCTGAGCTAAATCCCCAGCCCTGTTTTACTTTTTTTTAAAAAAATTTTGAGGCAGTGTCTTGCTATGTTGCTAAGTAGCCCGGGCTGGGCCTGTACTTGCAGTACCCCT